ATAATAATCCTTGCATTTGATATAGTGCTTTTCACAATATACAATTTATAAGTCACACTATTTCCTGGATATTTTTCCCCCCTGTATGTCTTGTACTGTTGAGGACTTGGAGGATATAAAAGAACGATTTCACAGTTTCTTCCCTGAACTGGTGAAAAATTGTCAATGTTAGAAAAATTCTTCAGGTAATGTCAATAGCTAGGATGTTAGTAATTGCATACGATAGAGTGCTTTATACCAGCAAATTGACGAGCTACAGTACTCTGAAATGTTGTGGCCGTTCTTCTATGTCCAAAAATCTATGCCAGTAGATCCAACTACCAACTAGTTCTGGCTAGTTCGAACAAATGTCCTGTTTGTGTTCCATATCACTCCATGGAACATTAACAACAAGATCAACTAATTAATCTCAGCCACCGTGCTTTCAGATATGTACCTCACTCAAGATCTGGTTCCAGAAACAGTTTTCCTCATGCATGGAAAAATCTGTTTATACCTGCTGAATTCATCCCAAGGAAGATCTCACATCTGTGCTCTGTCCCTTCAGCTTTCACCCACCTCAGTAACATTGCCCACCTTTGCCATTACCTCTCCCCTTGGGCTGCCAAAACCCTTGTCCACACATTCATCACGTCCAAGCTAAATTATGCCAACTCTCTATTTGCCGGACTGCCTGTTTCTTCTCTTCACAAGCTGCAGCCCGTGCCTTCCTGCACTACAACAAATTGCATTTATGTTGTGCTTTTCACATTGGGAGGCTGTCCCAAGGCACTGAGGGCTCTGTGAGCCTATCACCCCTATGCTTGCCTCGCTCCACTGAGATACATATCTGAGAACATGGTGGCTGAAGGCTCAGATTAATTAGTTGATTCCCCCAACAAATCGGATTCAAGATCCACGTCCTAACTTTTAAGTCCCTCCATGGTCTTGTTTATATGTTCTATATTCCTAGAAGCAACTCTTCTCTAGGATTAAGATTCATAAGATTCTAAAAATCACAGCAAATATGGAAAAGGCCATAAAGAATGTAAATAGCGTCCTTTGTTTTATATCCAGAGCAATAGACTTGCAATAGTGGGGAAGTTATGTCAACTTTATACGAAACCTTGGTTAGACCATATTTAGATTACTATGTGTAGTTCCAGTTGCCATATTGAAGGATACTGTTGTAATAGAGAGTGCAGCGTAGATTTACTGGATGTTTCCAGGGTTGACTGAATATATCTATCAGGAAAGACTGAACAGGCTAGAGCTTTTATCTCTTGAGATGAAGCAAAAGATTGAGAGGGTACCTGATGGAGGTATTTAAAATTGTAAATAAAAAGGCTGTTTCCACTTGTTATCAAAAAGTGCCAATATATACAAGATATCCACAAACAGATATAAAAGCAGATTATGAGGGGTTGAACAACAGTGAACTCCTGATAACTCAACCCTGGTGTAACTCATCACTATCATTTTTAAGTGATCATATTGTCAATATTCTGGCTGCTTCACATGCAAAATATTAATAAGGGACTTCACTTTACTTAACATGCAATTTGTCACATTGTAGTAATTCTTGCATTGCAGAGTGTTCCCTCCCTATCCTGTGACGGGTGTGGGCACTCATCAGAGTTTCGGCAAGCATGCTCAGAAGCATCATAGAGGCCTCTGGTCTATTGGCCTCCTACCCTAACCTGTGACTGATACGGGGACTTGGCAGAGGTTCGGCACACATACTCAGTTGCGGTGTCCATGGCGAGCAGGGGTGCTGGCTAAGCTTGCGAGAGAGACGCGGTGCTGAGTGGCCTAGGAGCCTAAAGTGAGGACCTATGGCTAACTTATCACACCGGATAATTCGTCAATGGGCCTTTTGCCCTTGGAGTGATGGGTTTTTCCATTTTATTGGACTACTCTCTGTCTGCAATCATCCCATTTTATTGATCTACCCTCTATATCTTTGATTGCAGCACTAAATTCATCTAAGGGTTACAACAAAAAGAATATTTGCATAACATCAAAACATCTCAGACCGTTTCACAGCTAGCTGCTGTCAAGTTTTGTGACCGTTTGTTCAGGAAACCAACAGCTAATTTGTGCACAGTAAGGTCCCACAAATAGCTATCAAGTGAATGCTGATAAAGTACAAGTAACAGAAGCAGCTCCACAGAAGAATATTTAAATCAACCTTCAACACTCACAGAGTTGGTAATAATCTGACAACATCACTGTGATTAAAATAAGTGAAAACTTACTTAAGCAACATTCTTCAAAAATCTACATTTTTATACAATTAAGCTTTAACTTAATATTTCTGTCTCTATCAATTCCTCAAGGCACTGCAATGCCAGCAAAGAATTTCAAAAGAAAATACATTGGATTTATAACTTTCAATATTACATAAACTAATGAAATCAAAACATTGGTATACTTCTATAATTTTAAACTTATTTCATTGCGCTATAAAATAGAATTTGCTTCAATGCCATTCAGCTAATAAAATATTAACTACTTTCTAATTTATAGAAAACTAATTGTTTATGACCAAGTCAACAACTTACTTTTATACATCACAGTCTACATAAAAGAATCTCTCCAGACAATGCTCAAAAGGAACATAATTTAAAATGAAATTAACCTTATTTAAGTAAAAATTGTATCTGATTTGCAACAGCAATGTACCACAAAGCGCAATCAGAGGGGAGCAGCCAACTGCTAAACAACCAGAATTTTTTTTGGGGGGTGGGGGGGGAGTTGGCTGAGGGAAAGATCGGAAGTCGGGCCTTTAGCCTTTCTACTCCCACCCTCTAGAGCTCCATCCCGCGGCCTCTCTGCTTGCCCCCTTCCTGCCTCATTCAAGGCCCATTTTGAGACCCTTCCTGTTCGACCGCTCCTTTGTTCATCTTCTTACCCACTTGCCCCCCATCCCTAAAGTTCAGCCCACAGCTCGGGTTCAAGCCCTTGACTATCCAGCGCCTTGGGAAATCTTCCCGACGTGAAAGCCACTATATAAATGCAATTTGTTGATGTTGTTGTTGATTATTAGCTTGGACATTAAAATATAATCACTACACTTTCTAGAAAAGCCCGTGAAGCACTTTGAGATGGCCTCTAGTTGTGAAAGGTGTTATATCAAATACAAATGTAACCACTGCATTCTCCTTAATCTTGTTTGTCAGCCTAGCTCAGTTGGTAGCACTCTTGCCATCCTCCTATTACAGCATCAAACAGTTTTTTTTAATTGGTTTAGTGGATTTGCTGCAACCAGCCTTCCTGCTAACTTGTTCCAGTCATGAATTACCCTCTGGGTAAAGAAATATTTCTTGGTGTTTCCTGAAATTGCCTGAAAAATAAATTCCATAAATTTCTGGCAAAGTAGAAAAGGTCACATTTTAATTTGATTCACACTTTTGGAAGGATAGAATGATTTCTATGCTCTTTACTTGTGCTCATCACAGTTAGTAATAGACGTGGAATGGGGTGTATTTTTTTCACTGAGGTGGAAGGTTTGAGCACATTGGCCACATTATTACCATAATGATAATAGATGAGTCCTGTAGTTCAATGGTTAGAGCACTCGCCTCACAAGTGAGAGACCTGCGATCGATTCCCGGCAGGGTGAAACTTGGGCAAGATTCCTTATTCCACATGCTTGATAATAATCCCTCAAGAACTGTTCGTGGGAGACTGCTGGATGCAATTGGCTGCCGAGTTTCACTCACAAATATACAGTCAATTCACTTTACAGTATATTCTGTGCAGCGCTTTGAGACAACCAAATAGACGTCACGGTCACAAATGCATCACAGGGTCACAAATTTATTAAAAACATTAAATGCAAGAATTATTATTATTATTATAAATAAATATATATTTTAACAATCATAGGTAATTCTTGTGTTGTAAGTTGCTGATATCAGTATAAAAACAAACATTAAAATGTAAACAATTAAAAAAAAGGCTCAACTTAAAAAAAACTAATTGCATTTATAGAGTGCCATTCACACGGGGCGGCATCTTGGAGTGCTTAAACTTGATTGACGCTCACAAGGCAGCAACCCTGATATGACTTGAAATTCTCAAAGAAGAAGTTTGGAGAAGAGCTGAGTTTTGGGAACAGAGCAGTTAACCGCAACTAATCTCGAGGTAAAAGGGATATGCTACAATCAACATGGATCGACGCACATTAGCAGGTCGATTCCTCCATCAAAGCCACTATGTTGATCCGATCAACCCATTGCAGCGAACTTTCCTAACCCGTCGTAAGCATTAATTTAATTACTAACCCGTTAGAAGGATTAATTTGATGAAACGTATCATTTTGATTATGTATAATGTTGCTAATCTTTTATAAAATTTTACTACTTAAAAGGGAATTTGTGTCGGTTCATACTTCACCACAGGGTCACAAATGTATTAAAACCCTACAATTGGGTTACTCGACATTTTCAGTACTGGGGAAAAAATTTCACTGTCTATAACCCTTCATCCCTAACAACACCCTAGATAATTCACACTGCATCAATTGTGTTTAACATCACAGCACTATGATACAATCATAAATATTTAAACATGAAACAAAACTGAAATAAAAGCAAAGCTTCACACTGTGACTTTGGTAAATAATTACCTGTCCATCCTCCCAAATACAGGTTAACATAATGTAGTTTTGGTCCTATTTATCAAAGCCTAATAGATCCCATAGCTCTGCTGTCATTTTGCCACAAATAGTACTTCTTCCCATCTCCAGCCCATTTCTTTTGGATTATCCAGTGAGTAAAACTTTATAGAGAAGTGAATTTTATAATTCACACTTGCATGCACAATGACAGGCAAATGTATCAAATTCTTTTTTGAGAAAAAAAATTGATTTTAACTTCATTCCATTCAGCAATATAGTTAGTTATATTATAACCACCAATATGGTGATTATATGCGACTCTGACAAAAAGAAAAAGCAATTTGAAAATTCAGCCCTGGGTAGGTATGCGTTGAAGAATTGTGTGTGCCTAAATTACCTTTTCTGCATCCACTTTGCCTTTTATAAATTCGGATCTCCAAAACTGCAAAGCTTGTTCCAAAGTGACACCGATTCCCTTCAGGAAAAGTCCATACTGCATTCGGCCGCCATGCCGAAGGTGATGGTTATCTCGTAAAGCCTTGTGCAACTGGCGCATGCACAGGGGGAAGGATTTTACAGCCAGCTGTAACACATTCAATTATCATATTAAAGACCAGAGGTGGAATTTCAAACAGAATGTTTTTCACGTTTACTGCTGCTGGTATGAACAATACAATTCTATTTATAAACCACTGAAAGCTTCCCCCGTGTAGTTCCCGATTGGTTTTGGAATAGATATGTACATCATCAGCGGAGAAGAGTAATTATTTCAATATAATAACCAGTTACCCAGGGAGCTGATACTATGAATATATTAATGTGCAACTCTGAAACCAAAATATATTTGAGGGAGGGAAGGAAAAGCAAAACACTGAGCAGCAACTATCTGTTCCAGTGAAAATACTTACACCATCTATCTGTTCCAATGAGATTTTCCCAACATTCTTTTGCATGCTGTAGTCTTGTCCAACATATGCATGGCTACAAAGGAAATGAAACTATTTAGAAACAAACAGAGACAGCAAATGCAGGTTGAGATTGCACTGCATTGAGAAGGATATCCATAGGAAAGCAGTATTAACAAAAGAGAGAAAATGTAAATTAACTTAGGCACTTTAATGATTTCTCCATGCTGCCCAGCAAGCAATTCTTCACTCTACATGAACATCAAAGGGGTTCTGTGGTCAATCTCTTTTAAATGTTTTTTGATTCCTATACTTGAAATTAATGATAAGTATAATTGATTAGGATAGTGGAATGCATCCAGAGACATTGTTTTAGGCAATGGAAGGAAAACACACCAGAACATGTTGAAATCTGTCAGGAGACCATGTGGAACTGCACTTTGTATAAAAGTCAGTGAAATTGTCTCAAAACGTGGACCAACTGTGGCAGGTTGTTAGTGAATCTGTCATCTGTTTTAATGGGATGTGCACTGCTGGTTCTTGAAGTTGAACTGAAGCAGTGTGATGGAAAAAATCCAATGAATTAAGAGACCAGAATCATGGTAGAAACAAATGTAATTCAAATAAAGCTCATCTGCTATCCACTCACGTCAGATCGCTAGATTTATGGGGATTATTGCAGACGTGAATAGATCTTTGGTTTACTTTTTCAAGCTAGTTCATTATATCAAATTGCCCCATCTGTACATACACACAAACATTACCCTGACTACAGCACCCCTGAGACGGCTGAGACCAATGGCAAACTGTGTTCAGGTAGCTAAAAGGAGTCTGAATGGTGAGACTAAATCCCTTTAGAATGAGATGCAGTGTCTGATCAAGATGAACATGACAATACCAAAGACTCTGGTCTAATTACCACATCCTCCGAATGCTTTTCTCTAAAAAGCACAAACACAGCACCAATCGCAAAGGTTTTTCCTGTACTGACTGATTCCTCACATGTTTTACAATGTTTGCTTCTACAATTGCTTGTTTGATTGCTTGTTCAACTGAACAAATGGTCATTTCACTAGCCATGGGAGTCTTACATTAAATTGCTCCTCTTGTAATCAATTCAAAATCTCTCTTATGATACTTAATCTGTTCACACAAATATCTTTCAATATATTCATATGCACAACTTTTAATATAAAAGAGAACTGAACACCACACAGATCAGTGAAATTTTAACTATTGTGCTTACATATTTTCTAAACAGAGTGAGAGACCCGACATCTACGCTCAGTTTTATCTCTACCAGTCTATTCGTGAGCTCGCCTTGCTTATTTGTGCTCATGTTGTCAACTGCATTGTGGCATCCTTCATTATAATTCCCAGATCATCTTCGGTGCAGTTTTACTTCTAATTTTATAGGCTTGATTGAAGTATTGTCACTATCGAACGCTTTGATTCGTATCAGCATCGAGACAACCATATGGACTGACTAATGAGATCATATCCAAAGAAGACATCAGCAGCAGAAGGCAACCATTTCTTGACCTTAATAACTGCCTTTAAAAATAATGAATGCTCTGGTAGCTTTCACTTTGACCACAACAATACAAGCTACAATAACAAGCTACAATAACGTGCTTTGCAATGACACTTTGACATTCTGTACAAGACAGCAAGAATACTCTGAATTGTGAAAAGCCACACCACCTGTTACATTGTCCACATTCAACTGTTGTTCTCATCAAGATTGTAATGCTCAGATCATGCACTTAAAAAAAATGTTCCATTTAATCTCATCGATCTAGTTCCCAATGAGTATGGATGTACTGTGCGGGAAACAAATATCATACTGGTACAGTGGCAACACTGGCATCTGAACAGACAAATGCAGAGTGCTGCAATACTGGAAGAAAAACAGACAGCACATGTACTCCATGGATGGGATAGATCTTGCCAAGTGGGAAGTTGAAAGTGACCTGGGCTTTTTGGTGGACTCATCATTCACTATATGTAAACAATGTGGGGCAAGCAATAAACAAGGAGAAAATGCAGGGCTGAGCTAAGTTTAAACCAGAAGAGGTTATACTCAAGCTGTACAATGATATCTAGTGTCTTTGATCTGCCTGGTGTTTCAAGTGAATTGTACTGATATGTTTCTTACTTGGTTGGATATGTTAATGAGGGGAACTGATATCACTTCTTGGGCCTTCAGCCTCTCTGACCCCACACTTTGGAACTCCATCCCACATTTCCTGTGCCTTCCGTCGAGGCACATCTCAAAACCCTCCTCTTCGACCTCGCCTTTGGCCACCCTCCTACCCTCTCTGCCTTGCGCCCTCCTGATCCCAACCCCCTCCCTGCTCGGGTCAATATCCCTGACTGTCTAGCACCTTGGGTGTCCTCCAGGCATGAAAGGCGCTATACAAATGTAATTTTGTATTGTACTGCATCACCAAGTGGTTCATGTCCAGGGTGAGAAGTTGAACAAATATTAAGATGGTCTTCAGTTATAAACTGGAGGAAATTGAGTGCAAAGCTGCTTTTACTTATTTACAAGTGCGGTCACGATGTAGTCAGGAATTGGAGGAATGCTTCAATGAAATAGTTTTGTGGGATGAAAGAGTAAAATCGAGGAAATTATATCTGTGCGATAAGCTAGATGAGTAGAGTTGAAGGAAGGATCAAACAACCAAGTGGTATAAATATAGCTGATGCTCTTCAGAACAGACTCAGGATGGAAGATGCTAGCAACAACAACAATAAGATTATATTTGTATAGCGCCTTTCACATCGGAAGGATGTTCCAAGGCATAGACAGTATTTCAGATCCGAAATGGGGTCAGGGAGAGAAGGGAGGGGTGACCAATGGCATGGTCAAAGAGGAGGGTCTTGAGGCGGGACTTGAAGGAGGGGACGAGGCGGATTAGGGGACGGAATTCCAGGTTTGGAGCAGAGTGGCTGTAGGCTCTCCCGCCAATGGTGGGGCGGGTGGGTCCGGGGATGTGGAGCAGGCCAGAGCCGGCTGAGCAGAGGGAGCGGGCGGGTTGGTAGGGGGTTAGGAGGTCACAGAGGTAGGGTGGGCCAAGGCCATGGTGGGCTTTGTAGGTGATCCTCTGAAGGATAGGGAGCCAATGGAGTCGGGTGAGAATGGGGGAGATGGGGTCACAGAGTTTGGTGTGGGAGAGGACACTCTGCAGAGTTCTGGATTATCTGCAGCCTGTGGAGGGAGGAGTTGGGAACTGGGCGTTTGCACAGTCGAGCCTGGAGGTGATGGAAGACATGAACAAGAGTTTCAGCGGCCTGAGGGGTGAGGTAGTGGTGGAGACGGGCGATGTTACGGAGGTGAGGGAAGGCAGAGCGGGTCATGGCTTTGATGTGGGGAAGAAGACAGTTGAGGGTTGAACAAACACCTAGGTTCCTGACTGGCTTGGTGAGTTGTAGTGTGCAACCATGGGGGTTGATGCTGCCAGAACCTGAGGTGCAGAGGCGCTGGCGCGAGCCAATCAAGAGGACCTCAGTCTTGTTCACATTCAACTGTAGGAAATTTGCCCTGATAAAGAATACGAGAAGAAAAGAAACAAAGAAAAGATAAACTAGAAGAAACTCCTGTAACTACTAATTCTGCTCTCTGGATTGGTAATTATACCTTTCTGTATCATGCACGCGCTATATGAAGGTTTCTTTAACAGAACATCCTGTGTCTGTGAACTCGTTTACCTGGGTTTCAGAATAATTTAAATTTAGTGACGATTTGACTGTGGAGAGATTTAAGGGTGAGAACGAGGATCTTACACTTGAATTGGTATTGCAAATAGAAAGCAGCAGAGCTGGCATTCTAAGAATAAATGAAGAAGACCATTTCTTACAATCTTGAGAATGAGGTACACTATTCAAGCAGAGTGCAAGGAGCTTGACTCTGTATTTACCCAAACTATATTTTAGCTGGGAATGCTTGATTTTGACATTGGGTGCCAAAAATAGGAAATTGTTCCATTTCCCAGCACAAACATCCTTCAACTTGATAAATTTTGTGCTTACCGGGGGAAACAAAAAGGTAAAATACAGCAGCAGGAATTGCTGACAATGCATTTCAAGATTTGAACACTTGCACACACAACGGAGAAACATTCCTCAATTACACTTATTAAGGGAGAGGTTATATAATATAATATAGAATAATCCTTGTATTTGATCTACCACTTTATCATGTCGTTGAGACGTCTCAAGGTACTGCACCAGATATACTGTAAAGTGGATTGACTGTGTATTTTGTGGGCAAAAAGTGGCAACCAGTTGCACAGGCAATGTGCGACAAACAGCTGTGGATGAGTGACCAAATTTATATCCTGACCATCTGTGACCAGGGCTCCCTCTGCCTCCTCGACCTATCGGCAGCATTCGATACGGTCGACCACGCTATCCTCCTCCACCGCTTGTCCTCCCACCTAAACCTTCAAGGCCCTGTCCTTGAGTGGTTTAGGTCGTACCTCTCCCACCCTCTTCACTTTGTCTCCACAAATGGTTTTTCCTCCGGCCCCCGCACTGTCTCGTGCGGTGTCCCTCAAGGCTCTGTCCTCGGTCCCCTCCTCTTCACCCTCTATACGCTCCCCCTCGGTGACATCATCCGCAGATATGGGGTTAACTTCCACATGTATGCGGATGACACCCAACTCTACCTTTCCTCCTCTACCCTCAACTCCACGACCACCGATGTCCTGACAGCTGCCTGTCCGACATCGAGTCCTGGACGAGAGACAACTTTCTTCAGCTCAACGTGCGAAAAACCGAGGCCCTCCTGAATGGCTCACGTCACCGCCTCCGCACCTCAGGCGCTGACAGCATCAGCATCCAAGGCTGCACTCTCCACCTCTCAAAGCCAGTCAGGAACCTCGGGGTTCTGTTCGACCCTGAGCTGTCCTTTCTCCCTCATATCCGCGCCACAACTGGCACCGCCTTCCATCACCTCCGGAATGTCGCCAGACTATGGCACTACCTCACCCCTCACGCGGCTGAAACTCTGGTCCACGCCTTTATCACCTCAAGGCTGGACTATGGGAACTCTCTCCTCGCCGGCCTTCC